AGAGAGGAGATACCCATTTCCCCAGGGAATCCAGGGAGATTCTAAAGCCAGAGATGTTCAAGAGAAAGTAAAAATTTGTGCTTCAGTGCTAGCTACTGGAAAACAAGAAAAAGACCTCTTTTTACAACCCTGCTAAATAGAGAAGTGCTAAGCCCTTAATAAAGGCAGATTTCATTCCCCTGAATACCTAGGCAGGGAAATGACCCATCAGATACCACGAATAACCATGGTATCAAGACAGCTCAGGAGGATATTAAACATCTCCAGAAGGTACATTTAAAAACATGGAAATATGTGATTTAAGTGACAGAGAATTCAAGATTGTAGTTCTAAAAAGAAACTATGAGATGTAAGAAAACTCAGAGAGGCAGTTTAATGAACTCAGAAATAAAATCAATGAAAAAAAGGAGTACTTTATAAAAGTGATGGAAACATCAAAAAAGAACCAAACAGAAATTCTGGAGCTTAAAAACTCAATAAAAGAGATGAAGAATGAACTAAGTAGCCTGGGAAACAGCTGACCAGATGGAGGAAAGAAACAGTGGTATCAAAGATAGAAATCTAGAAGTGGCACAGAGGGAAGAGTGGAAAGAAATACAGAAGAACTGTACAGGAACGGACTCCATCAGAGAGAATGTGAAAACAATGAGTGTACCACAGGAGAAGGGAGGGAGAAGCACTGAGCCTGTTCAAACAGTCACCCTGTGGAGAGAGCTAGATCCCTGAATTCAAGAAGCAAACAGAACACCTAGTCATCTCAATCCAAAAAGGCCTTCTTCAGGGCACATTATATTAAAACTAAAATTAATGACAAAGAAAGAATTCTCAAGGCAGTCTGGAAAAAAGAAATTGGAAAGCCCATTAGACTATTATTGGATTTTTTAAATCCTCACCCGAGGGTATTTCTCTATTTATCAGAAAGAGTATGAGGGAGAGAGAGGGAGGGAGAGAAGAGAGTGGGAAACACGGATGTGGGAGAGACACATCGATTGGTTGCCTCCTGCACGACCCCCACCAGGGCCAAACCACAACCAAGGTACATGTCCTTCACCAAAATTGAACCCGTGACTCTGGTCCATGGGCCGACACTCTAACCTCTGAGTCAAACCAGCCAGGGCTCATTGGATTTTTAAGCAGAGACCCTATAAGCTAGGAGAGAGTGGAATCAAATATTCAAACTACTGAAAGAGAGAAAATACCAGCAAAAAATAATATATCCTGCCCTGGCCAGTTTGGCTCAGTGGTTGAGCATCAACCTGAGGACCAGAGAGTCCCTGATTTGGTTCCCGCTAGGGGCATGTACTACAAAAAAAAAAAAAAAAAAAAATCTAACAAACTTATCCTTTAGCTGTGAAGGAGAAATATAGACTTTTCCAGGCACACAGAACCTGAGGGAATTTACCACCACAAGAGCACAAGAGCTGTGCTACAGAAAATACTCAAGGGGTTATTCTATGTGAAACACAAAGACAAAAGGATACAAAACTATAAGCTCTGTCTGGTTTGGCTCAGCGGTTAGAGCATTGGCCCGTGGTCCAGAAAGACCCGGGTTTGGTTCCTGCTAAGGGCACGTACCTCAGTTGCAGTTTGTCCCCGGTCCTGGTTGGGTCCTGCAGGAGGCAGCCACTCAAAATGTATAAGAAATTCTTACACCAAAAAATAAACAATCCAATGAAAAAATGGGCAGAGGACCTAAAGAGATATTTCTCCAAAGAGGATATACGATGGCGAGCAGACATGTGAAAAGGTGCTCTATATCACTAATCATTAGGGAAATGCTTATTCAAACCACAATCAGGTACAACCTCCCACATGTACGAATGGCTTTTATTTACTGATCAACCACCAAGAAGTGTTGGCAAGGATGTGGAGCAAAGGGAATCCTTGTGCGCTGCTGGTGGGATCATAAACTGGTGCAGTCACAATGGAAAAGAATATGGAGATTCCTCAAAAAATTAAAAATAGAGCTGTAATACAATCCAGCAATTCCACTTCTGGTTATTTTTCCAAAGAAAACAAAAAGAATTAACATCACTAACATGTCCACACTACCCAAAGCAATCTATAGACTCAACACAATCCCTGCTAAAATAACTACAGCATATTTCACAGATCTAGAATAAATACTCCAAAAATTTATATGGAACATAAAATACCCTGAATGGCTGCAGCAATCTTAAAAAAGAAGAACAAAGTAGGAGGGATAACAATACTGGATATAAAGTTATACTACAAAGCCATCCTAATCAAAACAGCCTGGTACTGGCACAAGAACAGGCATATAGATCAATGGAACAGAACAGAGAACCCAGAAATCGATCCAAGCCATTATGCTCAATTAATATATGACAAAGGTGGCAAGAACATACAGTGGAGTCAAGACAGTCTCTTCAATACATGATGTTGGGAAAATTGGACAGCTACACGCAAAAAATAAATAAAACTAGATCACCAACTAACACTACTCAGAAAAATAAACTCAAAATGGATAAAAGACTTAAATGTAAGTCATGAAACCATGAAACTTCTAGAAGAAAATGTAGGCAGCAAAAATCTCAGACATCTCATGTAGCTGAATTTTCACAGATACATTGGCTAGGGCAAGAGAAACAAAGGAAAAAATGAACACATGGGACCACATGAAACTAAAAAGCTTCTGCACAGCAAAAGAAACCAGCATCAAAATGAAAAGGGAACCCACTATATGGGAGAACATATCTGCCAATGATACATCGAATAAGGGGTTAATTTCCAAAATATTTTGACCTGGCCAGTTTGGCTGAGCGGTTAGAGCATCAGTCTGAGGACTGAAGGTACTTGGGTTGGATTCCTGGTCAAGGGCATGTACCTGGGTTGCAGGTTTGATCCCTGGCTCAGGTCAGGGTTGTGCAGGGGGCAATCAATCAATGTATCTCTCACACCGATGTCTCTTTCTCTGTCTCTCCTTCCCTCCCTTCCTTCCACTCTATCTAAAAAAAAAGAAAAAAAGGAGAAATAGTCTTTTGTGAGGATTAACAACAACAACAACAACAACAAATATATAAAGTACTCATACAACTCAAAAAAGACAAACAATCCAATTAAAAAATGGGCAGAGGACCCGAACAGACACTTTCAAATAGGACATACAAATGGCCAAAAGACATATAAAAAAATGCTCAACATCACTAATTATCAGAGAGATACAAACTAAAACTACAATGAGGTATCACCTCATACCTGCCAGAATGGTTACCACCACTCAATCAATAAACAACAAGCACTGGCGAGGATGTGGAGAAAAGGGATCCCTAGTGTACTGCTGGTGAGAATGCAGTGATGCAGCCACTATGAAAAACAGTGTAATTTCCTCAAAAAGCTAAAAATGGAACTGCCATTTGACCCAGTGATCACATTTGTAGGACTATATCCCAAGAAGCTTGAAACGCCAATCAGAAAGAATATATGTACCCCTATGTTCATAGCAGTGCTATTTACAATTGCTAAGATATGGAAACAGCCCAAATGCCTATCAGTAGATCAAGTGGATAAAAAAAAACTGTGGTACATATACACAATGGAATACCATGCAGCTGTAAAAAACGAAGGATCTTGAGACAGCTTGGAGGGACCTGGAGTTGATTATGCTAAACAAAATAAGCCAGTTAGAGAAAGACAAATAGCACATGTGGAATCTAATAAATAAAATAAACTGATGAATAAAAATAGAACCAGGGGCATGGAAATATGAAACAGATTGACAAGTCTCAGAGGTAAGGGTGGAAGGGGGACAAGAAGAGATTAACCAAAGAACTTATATGCCATATATATTACCCATGGACAGAGTCAGTAGAGTGGTAAAGTCTTGGGGTGGGGCAGGAACCAGGTGGTGGGGGAAAATGGAAGAAAAAGGGAGGAACATCTGAAATACTCTCAACAATCACATTAAAAAATAAAGAATACTATTGTCTCTAAAAGAAAAAAAAGAAACCTGAAGTTGTTATATTAATATTAATATCAGAGTGGACTTCAGAAAAAGGAATATTACCAGTGATAAAAAGAAAAAGACATTTCACAATGATAGAGGGATCAAATCACCAAAAATAACTAACAATACTAAACGTACACGTCGCTAATTCCAGAGTTTCTAAATATATGAAGCAAACATGACAGAACCAAAAAGAAAAAGAAATTCAGAATGATGGTAGAGAATTCAGCATAACCCCTTTCAGTACCTGGTAGAACAGTATGAAAATCACTAAGGGTGTGGAAGACTTAAACTGTCCACTGACTTGATCTGATTGGCATCCGATAGAACATGCTAATACAGTCTACGTAACACATTATTTTCAAATTACTGAGAAACATTTATAAAAAAAAGTCATTCTGGGCCATAAAACAAAACTCAATACACTTAAAAGGACTAGGTCATACAGGGTATGTTCTCTAACTACAAAGGAATTAGGTCAGAAATTGTTAACAGAAAGATAATCTGAAAATTCCTTTACATTTTAGGATTTAAACAACACACTTCTAAAAAAACATGGGTGAAAGAAAAAGTCCAAAGGAAATTAAAAAATATTTTGGGCTGAATTAAAATAAAAGCACAACACATCAATCTGTAAGACGCAGCTGAAGCAGCTAGGGCTAAAGGGATATTTATAGCTTTAGACGTGTACATTAGAAATTATTTTATGGATAAAATGGAATATAATCACCTAAAAAGAAAGATCCCACTGCTATTTAAATTATCCCCTGCTGACAACCAACAAATCATTAACAAAGACCCATTTTCATCTTCATATCACTCACACATGTACTTAAGAAATATCTGAGTAAATGCATTTTAAGGGTCCGAACCACAAGTGGTTTTACCACCTTTCTGGTCCTAACAGTGGTCAGCACTATGTGAAAGACCTGGTTGGCAGTCAAAACTGGTAAAATAAACAACTAATGTTGCTCCACCGTATTCTGTAATGATGAAATTATTGTTAAGTTAAAATGAATTGTGTTTTACTCACTTATTTCTTCTTGTAGGGTTTCTTGTTTCTGCTTTTGAATTTTTGTTTCTTGCTCCAAATCTTCTATCTTGTTATTTTTATTAGTTAACTTTTGATTTAGTTCTTTCATCAAACGTTCGTAATCAGCTATTTCCATGTTCATCAATGTGGTTTGTTGGGCATCCTGCATGTATTATAAATAAAAGACCCCAAAATATTAGATCAGTTCATTTCATTTGTAAAATTGCTAAAATATAGGAATAAACAGATTCTACTATCCTTTTCTAAAATAAAGTTAAACAATAATGAAGAAACTAGAAGTTGGATATTTTCTACTTTAATTTCAAAATGTGTTTTTTAATAGTTTAATCTAACTTTCTCAGTTTCATTGTATCTCATTATAATTTTTATTAACCACTATTGTTAGTTCTCTTGTCGGGCTCTTAATGATATTTTAAGCAGTTTGTACAGTACCTTCCTTTTTAGCCTCACCTTTGAAAAAGTTGAGAAAAATAAGACAAAGCTGTAAATATAATATAAATTTCAATTTTTGACATTAAATCTTCACATGTCATACAACGGTCATGTACAAAAATATCAAACCCATATATAATAATTCATGAGCCTATATTCTTCTGGAGGAATAGGCACACAGAGAAATAAGTTATACTTTCAATATTTAGAGGCAAGTAATTTCTACATAATTATTTTAGAACCACAAGTAATCATGTTTTTGAAATATATCTTTTCAATGTTTATAGAATAGTTTAACAAAGGCAAATACTGACATCAGTTTTAAGCCTGATGTTTTATTTTACCTTTTTAACCAGCTCTAATTCTTGCATGGTTTTCTGTAGCTGTTTCCTTTCCCTTTGAAGTTGTAGCTGAAGTTCTTCAAGTTCACTTACAGAACTGGCATGCTCCTAAAATAAAATAAAAAAAAACCATCACCCCCACCCCAAGCCAACCAACATTAAACAAGGTATTTGTAAGAAACTACAAAATAAATCTGACATAATAAAATACAAAATGTTTGAAATCTTTCAACATGCAAAAAATATACACTCAAAGATCATAGTTTGGATTTTCAAATTCACAGTTACCATACATTAAAGAATTAATGACTCTGGCCGGTGTGGCACAGCAGTTAGAGTGTCAGCCTGTGGACCAATGAGTCACGGGTTTGATTCCAGTCAAGGGCACGTACCTCAGCTGCGATTCATCCCCGGCCCTGGTTGGGTTGTGCAGGAAGGAGGCAACTAATTGATGTGTCCCTCTCACATTGATGTTTCTCTCTCTCTCTCTCTCTCCCTCCCTCACACTCTATCTGAAGATAAACAGAAAAATATCCTCAAGTGAGGATTTAAAAAAAAATTAATGAATTTGCTGTATTCATAAATACTACTTATTAATCCTTCCATCTTTTAACTAATACTTTGATAAAAACATCCATATATAACATGACTTAATCCCACAGGACTGTTTTACCTTCATCTTCTGCTCGCTTTTACGTTTTTCAGTTTCCAGCTCTGCGTCGACCTCTGCTTTGGCCTTCTGGATCTCTACGATGTGTACTTCCAGTAACTTGACGTTCGACTGCAGTGTCTCTACGTGAGCCAGGAGATCGCCATTATCAGAATTCAATTTTTCACACTAGAATGACAAAAGATTCATTACTGTAAACACACATAAAATACAGAGGAGTGGAAGAATAAAATGGTATACTAAGGAGAACATTGGCATAATATTAAAAAAGGAAGATTTCAAAATCAGTTCCAACAAATGAAATGTTAAGTTGAGGATAAGTTTTAAACACTACCACCATTGCTATTTATTTGGCAAACATTACAAGAGACCAGGAACACAGGCAAGGTGAAATAAAGACAAAAACCCAGCAGAACTGGGATTAGAGCAATAAATAAAGACAGGATAGTCGCTACTTCTTTCCCAACAGTGGGGAAAAAGAAAAGAAGATTAAGTTTCTGCCTATGGATTAACTTTATTTTATGCAAATATACTGAAATTTAAATGTACTTATTTCAATTTTCAGGTCTGCATTTACTCAATTTAAAGTTACCTGTAAAGTTGAATTCCTTAATTGTCTTGTAAGGTCTTCTATCTGATGCTCAAAACAATTAGCACGTTCTTTTTCTATATCCAACTGCTCTGTTTGCTTATCATATTCTAGTAGAAGATTCTTCAATAAAAGACAAAATAATTTACCTTTAATTATACATTCAACAGTCAGACTATATCATTAAGCCATCTTGATATGAGGTTTATAAATTCATTCCGAAAGCTTCAATATTTACCTAAGTTCAACATTCAATAGAATACCTAATTGGTATAATATAATACAATTAACATAACTCAGATGATTTTAAGTATGAGAGGAAGAGTTTAGATTTAAACAGTAAATTTCCAAGTTAAATATTCACGTCATCAACAAAATTAAACTTCTGAAAAGGAAACAATTTAAGGAGGACGGAGAAAGTTGAACTTGGTCATTTACCAATTGTGCCTACAGAATTCTGATGGAGATGTTTCAGGTCTAGTCTAATCTGAAGTCAAGGTGCTGAAGCAGAACATGAGATGTTATATAAACACAGTCCCTTACATCTTATAGCAAAACATTTAACGTTTTCTGAAGACTTTAAAACTTAATTTCTTGGATAATCCCAGTTGGCCCCTACTTGAGCACAGAATGTCCACACTGACCTTCTTGCTACATACCAGCCAATCAGGTTATCCCCCAAAATATATAAATGAGACTCACTGTTGCCAGACTGCCTATACTTTTCCTCTCTCCCCTTTTCTAAATCCCGTTTTTGCCTTGTTCCTGGACAACTACTGACCGTTCTCCTTCACATGAATACATGTGTGTGCAAAATGACTAAGAAAATGTTTTGGAGTTTTCTTTGAAAGTTTATTTTGGGAAGCCTGAAAAGTGACCTTGATCCAGCCCTCTGGAGTCCTTGGCTCCCTTCCCAGGCTCCTCTGGGGGTCTCATGCATGGCAATTGTGTGTTGTTTCCGGTTCTTCCTCACCAAATCTGATTCTTGGCAAATCTAATTTTGTTTCTAATTCTGATTTATTCACAGTCTATTACTGTCTACACTGGTGACTGTTAGTATCTGAGTTTCTATTTCATGGTCTACCCACTTAGTAACTGACAAAAGACAGGAATTGGGAATCTAGAATCTGGCTTACAAATTTGTCTGTCCATGTTTATTTGTCTGAGGATTCTGTTACTTCCTGAAATACACAAATATGAGATTGAGAAATGATGTCTTCTTTTCCAGAGAGAGAAAATGCCATTGCTCGTTTTGTATTTATGTGGATTTCTTCAACTCCAAAAATCAAAGGTCTTTATTCTTTTAGACTCTAGTCTTTTCTGTTTTTACTCGTTCCAGTTCTAATAGTTGTCAATAACTGCAAAAGTGTAATTGCTATACCAAGGCTGACTCTAGTAAATAATGGTTCCCTACAGGAAATTCTAACATATTGTCTCTAATGAGAGCCTTGGAACAAAACAGGAATGCCAAATATGCAACCATTCATTTCCTTAATGAGCATGCTGACGCTTCCAAGCAGATTAATACTGACCAATTATTGTACTTTCATAAATGTTGCAGGTTCAGATCTCTTAAATAAAGTTGGTAAAAACTATTATTTTAAATAATATAAACACTTAAAAAAAACTATCTAGCCAAATTCACAAGTAACTTACAAATTTACTCAGCATCTTAACAGTGATGCTCCCTGAGGAACTATTTGTTCTATTGTGTCTATTTTTACTAAAAGTGATCACCATTCTTAAACATATCAGCAGCTCTGATTTTATCTTTACCACAAATGGAATCTCTAACTATAAAATCTATTTTTAAAAAGGTTTTAGTAGACTTTATTTATTTATTTTCTTTTTGGTTAATTCTCACTGGAGGATATTTTTCCATAGATATTTTTTTGTTTTTAAATAGAATGGAAGAGAGAAAGAGAGGGAGAAAACACTGATGTGAGACACATAGATTGGTTTCCTCCCACACAACCCCAAGTGGGGCCAGGAATTGACCCTGCAACCCAGGTACATGTCCTTGACCAGAATTGAACCCGTGATCTTTCGGTCCGCAAACTGACGCTCTAACTGCTGAGTCAAACCAGCCAGGGCCAGACTTTATTCTTTTTTTAAAAATGTTTTTCCTCTATTTTTAGAGAGAGAGAAAGGGAGAGGGAGATAGAAACATCCATGAGAGAGAACATCGACTGGCCACCTCCTGCATGCCCCCCACTGGGGGTTTTGGCTCACAACCTGAGCATGTGTCCTGACTGGGAATCAAACTGGTACCTCTTGGTGCAGGGTCGACACTCAACCACTGAGCCACACCAGCTGGGCCATACTTTATTCTTAAAAGCAGTTTTAGGTTCATACCAAAACTGAGGGGAAGGTACAGAGATTTCCCATTACCCCCCTCCCACCATTGAATAACCTCCTTCATTATCAGCATTCACCGCCAGAGTGGTACATTTATTACAGCCCATGAACCTGCACTGGTTCATCATTGAGGAACATCACCCAAAGTCCATAGTTTACATCAGGGTTCACTCTTGGTGTTGTACATTCTATGGGTTGGGACAAATGTATAATGACATATACTCACTATTACAGAGCAGCTTCACCGCCCTAAAAACCCCGTGTTCCACCTATTCATCCCCTTTCCCCCACAAGCCTTCAGAACCATAGTTGTTTTATCAGTCTCCATCATTTTACTGTTTCCATCATGTCATATACCTGGAATCATACATTACATAGATTTTTCACATTGGCTTCTTTCACCTAGTTGTGGTATATATTCAAGTTTTTTCCATGTATTTTCATGGCTCAATAGCTTCTTTCTTTTTTTGTTAATTCTCACCTGAGGATATTTTTCCACTGATTTTTTTTAGATAGAGTAGAAGGGAGGGAGGGAGAGAGAAAAACATCAATGTGAGAGACACACATCAACTGGTTGCCTCCTGCACAACCCTGTTTGGGGCCCGGGATTGAACCTGCAACCCAGGTATGTGCTCTTGACCAGAACTGAACCTGTGACCCCTCTGTCCACAGGTTGATGCTCTAACCACTAAGCCACACCAGCCAGGGCAGATAGCTTATTTCTTTTTATGGCAGAATACAGTCGTACATCACTTAATTATGGGGATACACTTTGAGAAATGCATTGTTAAGTGGATGCATCATGGGAACACCATTAAGGCACTTACACAGATGTCAGTGGTTTAACCTACTATACACCTAGGCTCCTGGGCTCTGAGCTGTACGGCATGTTATAGTACTGAGTACTGTAGGTAATTGTAACACAATGGTTTAAGTAGTATTTGTGTATCTAAATGTAAAAAAGGTTATGTGGTTCATGACTATACTATTCAGTTGTCTAAATGTACCACAGTTTATTTATCCATTTGCCTACTGAAGGCCACCTTGGTTGCTTCCAAGTTTTGGTAATTATGAATAAAGCTGCTATAAACATCTGTGTGTAGGTTTTTGTTTGGATGTAAGTTTTCAAATCGTTTGGGTAAATACCAAGGAGCATGCTTGTTGAATCACATAGTACGTTTAATTTTGTAAGAAACTGTCCAATTTCTTATTGTTGAGTTTTAATAGTTTGTTGTATAGTTTGGATAATAATCCTTTATCAGATACATGTCCTTTAAATATTTTCTTCTAGGCAGTAGTGTGTCTTCTGATGCTTTGACATTATCTTTCACACAGAAATATTTTAACTAAGTATAGCTTAGTAATTCTTTCATGGTGCCTTTGATGTTCTATCTAAAAAGTCACTGCCTAATGAACATTAACAGTCTGAGGAATGGGGTAGTCCCAGAGACGTGGAAGTGGGGTACAGACTGAGAATCCCCATAAGAGGAGGGTGGTGGAGGAGAGATAAACCACAGAACTTAAATGCATGTATGCATGAACAGTGGACATGGACAACAAACTGGCGAAAGGGCAGGGAGGGAGGGGGAGAGGGGAATCAGTGGGGGGAAAAAGGAGAAACATCTGTAACAAAAATTAATAAAAATAAATAAATAAATAAAAAGTCACTGCCATACCCAAGGTCATCTAGATTTTTTTCCTGTTATCTTCTAAGAGTTTTATAGCTCTGTGTCTTTTATGTAGGTCTATGATCCATTTAAGGTAATTTTTGTGAGGGGTTTAATATCTAGATTCAATTTTCTGCATGTGGATGTCTAGCTGTTTCAGCATCATTTGTGGAAGATTATCTTTGCTCCACTGCCAAAGATCTACTGATTATATTTCTATATATATAATCTTTTCTGGACTCTGTTCTGATCTATAGGTCTGTCTATTCTTTCAGCAACACAACCTTGATTGCTGTTGCTTTACATCAGTCTTAAAGCCAGACAGTAATTCTTCCACCTTGTCTTTCTTCAATGTACCTATCCTGGGTCTGAGTCCTATCATTTTCCTTGTCTCTAAAAAACTTTTAATATTTGTTGAAAGGCATGCCTATTAATTCCCTCAATTTTTATCTGCTAAAACTCTATTTCTACTTAACTTTTGGAGGATAATTGTGCAGGGCACAGAAGTCTAGGTTAGTGGAATTTTTCCCCTCTTGACATTTAAACAATAATTAATTAAAATTAAATTTATTGGGTTGACATTGGTTAAAGGGCTCATATAGGTTTCAGGTGTGGATTTCTATGTTACAAGATCTGTATATTGCATTGTATGCCTACCACCCAAAGTCAAATAATCTTCCATCACCATATATCATACCTACCCACACCCTCTTCCCTATGGCAACCACCACACTGCAGTCTGTGCCCAAGAGATTCAGTTTAATATCCTACATGTATATGAAATCACATGGTTCTTAGTTATTAGTGCCTGTCTTACTTCACTTAGCATTAATTTCTCAAGGTCCAGGTTGTTGCAAATGGCAGTACTTTGTCTTTTCTTATGGCTAAGTAGTATTCCATTGTGTATATGTACCACATCTTCTTTATCCAGTAGTCTATCAAAGGACATCCTGGTAGTCTCCTTGTCTTGGCCACAGTGAATAATGCTGCTATGAACAGAGGGGTGCATATATCTTTGCGAACACGTTATTAAGTTATTTGGGTATGTGCTCGGGAGAGGGATTGTTGCGACATATGGCAGCTCTATTCTTAATTTTT